GTGTGCAGGTGGGTTTTCTGGCAGGATATATCAGCACCGATGTGGATCAGCTGCTCGGGACCAAAAAAAAAAAAAAAAAAAAAAAAAAAAAAAAAAGTTCGTCAGCTGGCAGCTTCTGGAGTGATGAAACTAACCGAACAAATTGCCTCTAAATCATCTGGTGAGTTAATTATCTGCTGTGCGCAACGTTCGCTTGCTTTTTAGTAAAAAAATCAAAGCCATTTTCTTTTACTTTATTTCACCCGCCGAGGACAAGCTCCTCCCACACCTCGCTGCTGCCGCTGCTTGTTCTGGTCTGAACACTAGTGCGTTCAGTCTGAACATAGAGCGTCCAGTGAGAGACGTTTTGCGCTTTTTGGCCGCTCAAAACGCGTTTGGTGTGAACGCAGCATTAGGGCATTTTATCCAGTGGCTGCTCTGTAAGGCAGACAGAGGATCCCTGATCTTTGGGGAAATCCAGATTCTTCTCTGCTGTACTTCCTTTCTTTGTATTCCCCTCTAATTTGTTTCCCACATTTACCATGCCTTGTCTTATGCTTTTATAGTTTCATGTTTAAAAGGATGAAAAGATACGTTAAGAGGTAGACCTACTTGTGTTTGTCAGATTGTAGTTCCTCTTACCTGACAACAGGTGTCAGGAAAAGGTTGGAATCCTACATGAATTCACACAACCCCTCGCAAAATGTGTGGAATCACCAGTCTTGGATGAGCACTCATTCAGAGATTTCATTCTGTAAAAAACTCAGATCAAAAACATGATACAATCAAAAGGTCATTCCAAAGTGCAACGAAGAGAAAACATTGGAAGTCAGTGCTACGCTTCCTGCCCCACATACCAGGAAATTTTCATTCATGAAAACGACATGACAAAGTAGCTAAAACTTAGATTTTTACGAGTCCTGAGATTGAAGTCCTGCTCTCAGAGATTTAAAAACAATTAAAATATCTGTTATTTTTAGCAGCGTCAGCTGTGGAATTGAAGGAGCTGCTTTAAAGCCAAGGAATGAATGACTGCTGTTAATGTTGTGTCTCCTGTTAGTCGTAAAGTCACAGAAATAAAACTATAAATCATATTCATCTCTCTCTTACGCTCAGGTTTTCCTTTGGTCAAATATTCTTAATTTAAGTGTAAACAACTGTGTTAAATAATTTTCATATATTCATTAGAGCCACAGCCCAGATCAATGTTCATATTAATATTTTAGTGTTATATAACAGCATTTAAATTATATCATTAGCCTACATTATTACATTTAAAATTGTAATTCCAGTTCAAACAGAATAACCTATTTTCAACATAATTATGGAGTGTGATTTATTTTCAACTC